CCCCCCCCCCCCCCCCGAGACTCACCGAAACCGGCGCTGCTTCCATGTGACAGATGAATGGCACGCGGCTACACGCCTTGTGTCCCTATAACTAGTTATCGCATTGAAAGGGCAAACAAGTATTACAGGATGTGAAGAATTTGTTCAACACTGTGATTAATACTTTTCATTGCGCGACGAAGAAGAGCTGTGTAGCTCCCAACAGGAGAACCCCCGACATCAACCACCGCGATGTACTCGACCTAGACATCGGGTGCTGGATGCTCGCGTTTTAACCTATTTTATTACGCGCTTGGGAATGACGTGGAATACATCTTTCAAATAATACTAGAAATAGGCGTAAGGACGTGGACTACAGCCCCCACCCCATCCGGAATTTGCTTTTCAAACTGTTTCATTCCGTAAAACAAATACCAAAGAATTCGTATTTTTAATTTCTCGCATTACCTCGTACGAATAGTGCACCAGAAAACGGCTAATTGTGTACAGAAAAGCTCTTATTTGCAGGACACGGGTAACGAAAAATTGAATAAATCTTGTACATGTATACAGTAAATTACTTCCTGCATCAAGTTGTGGCAGAATCCGTTTTTTGTGGATTCTTGATACTGAAAAATCGATTGGCGGCAAAATGTCCGTCCGTCTGTGGTCAACGCTCGCGCCTAACCGTACATCTGTGTGTGTGTGTTTTTTTTTGAAAACTGATATACCCCGATCGACGTAAATGGATTCAAGGTCCTGCGAGTTCGAAAGTGATATTTCATTTTTTGGGAGGAGCTTTACATGAGCCTCGACAACATTCAAAATTTTCTCAAAAATGACTGCAGTTTTTTTTAAAAATTTAACGTTGTTCTAAGATTGCGACGCTTAAAAGGATGACGCAGGTCTCATTTTTGTTGAAATGCATAATTTTTCTGAAATTACAAATGTTCAAACCCAATCGGCGTTTCCCTGCATCTACAATATTCAAGATAAAGATTTTTCTTAAATAAAGTATGTTCTTCAAAGGCAAATCTTTAAATACGGTCATGTGCAATTCTTCGAAAATATGAATCGATTACACGCAATGTTTCGTAAAATATAGGCAATTTTTAAACAATTATTTTTTCAAAAATGCTCCACATTTTAAACATTTTATTCTCGTACGTATCAAAGAATGAAAAATTGTTTAGTCCCACTTCCAGCGAATTCTCTGTATTTTAGAAAATTGCAAAACGTTAGCATTGCAAAACTACAATATTGAAGATAGATATTTTGGTCTTAAACAATACCTGTTCTAAATATTAGATATTTAAAAAAAGGTCATGTACAATTTCTTTCAAAAAATTAATAGACTTTAGTAATTTCTCGAAGTGAATGCAATTTATAAAAAAAAAACAACATAATTTTTCAAAAACCGGTCCGATATTTTTTCTTTAAGTTTTCCCATGGATAGAAGAAGCAACAATAAAAATAATGACACAGGTCCCATTTTCGAGGAATTCTCTGAATTTGTGAAAATTGCAAAAGTTACAAATAATTTGAGAAAGAATGTGATGCCCCAGCACCACTAGTTCACAGTGGAAATCATAAATCAATAAGCGAGAATTTAAAATAAAGTACCTGAATATTTGTTTATTCTTAGAGAAAAAACCCAAAGTTTTACCACCAAAAGCACTTCTCACACATGAACCCTCCCCATTCACAATTCTTACATCCGCGCCTGATATCTGCCATTCTTTATTAAAATGTACGAATCGCATCTTAGATCCCGTGCTCGTGTGTTTCCAGAGGAGCCGCTGGGCATCGCCACCGTCGAGATCGCCATCCCTGGGGGCGCCACGCTGGGCATCGTCCTGGAGGGTGAGTATTCCTGGCATTTTATTTTTTTTTTAAAGATTTTATGTTTCAATTAAAGAAGTGCTTCGTTAAACAAGATAACATGTATATATAGAAAAGTTTTATTGCAGCAAACTTTTACAGATTTATGAATACAGTAATTTAAAAACTTGACAATTCTGCCTGAAGTTTACTACAGTGACCGCAAAGCTAATTGATTCTGTGAGTGTTCCGAATTTGTCTTCTTCCTGACGTGTACTTTAGCAGCCGTAACGTGTTCAAAACGTAGAGAGAATTTTACAAAATTAGTCTCGTCGCATTCAGCAAGACGATCCAATCAATAGAAATCGTCACAATAAAAAATATGTTATTCTGATCTACAGTAATCTTAATAAGGTGATTGTGATACATTTCGACTGGTTCTGCGCATCACAAAAATTTTAAAAGCCGCTTCTGTAAAGTACAATAATGTTAATAACCGGATTACGCGAAAGAGAGAGAATGGCAAGGGGAAGTCTCCGTGCCTTCGCGGCGGCGCGCGTGGCCGCAGCCGGGCGCGTTTACAAAGCGCCCCAAAACACGGATATTTTGATGTCCAACGTAAACGGTTCGTGGTTCTCGTCCGTATCGCCGGTTAAACATCGCCGACGTGTAAACAGACGAAAAAAATCTCGGAGAGCAAATTCATCCGGGAAGAATCGGAGCCCCTGGCCTTCCGAGGAATTGTTGACAGCCTTCGTGGACGCGTTTTTTTTCCGGTGCGCAGGAATTCACCTGCATCTCAGGCTGAATGGCGCTTTGTGTGCTTTGTTTTTTTTCTGGTTTGGGGGATGCCGAGAAGAGAGAGCGGCGATATATTTGTGTTGGAAGTTTATCTGTCATCTCAGTCTATTATGATCTTTCTCTACTGAAGATTTCTATTGAAATGCGACCTTCGAGAGCGAAGAACAATAAACCATTCGTACAAATTCAACGAAAATGTGAAGAATCCAAGAACTATTTCTTAAACATATCGTGATATGAGCTTTAATGAAAGTTAAAAAAGATCTATTTTCTTTTGAATAATATGTGTCATTTTATTCTATTATTTTGATAACAATTTTTGAACCCAGTAACAAAGCATTTTATTTTGTATTGCTTCTTCAATAATAATGATAACAACAACAACAACAACAACA